GTACTGTGTTAGGCTAACCGAGACTTGTCATTTGCGCATATATTGTTGCTCTTTTGTTAGTTTTGACTGCTTTTATTGTCCTCATTTGTAAGTGGCTTTGGATAAAAGCGTCTGCTAAATGACTAAATAAATAAATATAATGATAAAAAGCAAAACCAAAGCCCACATTGTCATTCTCTTACCACAGAGTGTGTGCAGTATGTGACAATGAATTGATTCAAATTTCATTTAAATCTTTAAAAGGTGAGGGCATAACAATGCCTTAGAAAATTATTTTCCAACACACTGACCCCAAAAAATAGAACATGTTTTTCTTCAAAGTACTACGTTTACAATATTACATTTGATTCAATGGATTTTACAATATCAGCTATGAAAATAATATGCATATTCAAATTCTAAACTCGATTAGACTTTAATGTCATCTTTTTTTTGTGCATGATGCATTTACAAATCCCTCATAACTGATTACTGCAGTCTTGCTGTAATCAAGACTTGCAGTAGTGTAGTGGTAGTGTAAAGTGGAATAATAATATAGACCTAACACATTATGTATGATAGAAGATTAAACACTGGGTGAGATCACTGGAGGAATCAGGCCACTACATGGTGATTATGTTATCAATAACTCCATACTTGCCATAACAAATGTGCCTAACAAAAAACAGTTACAGCAGCGAGAGAAAAGTCAAGTGTCAAGAGCCCAATTAAAGAACCATAAAACACTGATCATTATAATGATGGCATTAATTCTCAATAAGAACTTTTGTAGATGTATGACAGAGATACAGGCAAACTGGTTTATGATAAGTGAAGATGCTAATGCTTTTTGTGGTGCTGTTCAGTCAACAGTTTTGGACTTTTTGGTTCAAAATCAAAGTGCGGGGCCCTGATATTAGTATATAGCATAACAGCATTATAATAATAATATTGACATATTAACATAACTGAAAATATGCAGAAATGTTTGAAAAAAGGTATTTGTGCTAAGAGATTTCTTTTCAATTTTCATTAATGGCAGCCTGTAAATGACATACCAATTGCATTTTCACTGTTAATTTGACAGGAACATGCATTATGACCATGAATATTTGTAAGTTTTGGCAAATATTTTGCGCACACTGTGGTAATGAAATGGCTAGTTGGGCTCTGAATGTATTATAATTGATTGTTTTTAATTAATTCCATTCATATTAGTTTGACACTCTACACACACACGTTAACAACTTCTCCCTCTCTCACTCTCAATAGTTAGGTTTCATTGCTGTATTGTTTAGACCTTTCTTTTTGTACATGGCAGATCACCATCAAGAGGAGACCTCTACTGTATGTTATGAACATTATCCTACCAGTATTTGTCTTCCTTGTGCTGGATGTGATGTCCTTCTTCATAGACGCAAATGGAACAGAAAAGTTGAGCTTTAAAGTAACTTTACTGCTGTCTGTTTCTGTGTTGCTGCTGATTCTTAATGACACGCTGCCCTCTACAGCTGATAAAATCCCACTGATTGGTGAGTCTAACATAACATGATAATTGAGGCATAATTTCTTTAAAATGCAGTCCACATTTTAACAATTATGCATTATACCCAGAGTACAGAGAATATATTCACTACAAATATATATATATATATAAGTGAGATATTTATATTAGCTAATAAGAGAGAATTCATATTAGGTGAATGATTTAATTAGATTAATGAATAACAATAAGTTGAATGAAATATGTCTGTGACAATTGTTGACTTTTTTACTGCACTTAAGTAACACTTTGTGATACTTAGTTGAACATGTGGTCATTTAAAAGCTTAATGTAAAACGTCTCAGGTTACTTATGTAATGAGACACTGCATCCTCTAGGGGTCGCTATGGGGAACGCCTCGTCGTGACCCATGTCTGAAGCATACATTGAAAACACCAACAACACGCTGGCCGGCGACAGCCCATGACGTCACTACTGGTGCGACTATAGTATAAATAGGCGCCGGGAGAACATGTAATTCACTTCTTCGTCTGAAGCTTGCGTTCGAAGCATGGCAGGAAGCCTAGAGGACGCAGTGTCTCGTTCCCTACTCAGGGAACCATGGTTACATACGTAACCTGAGACGTTCCCTTTCAAGGGAACTTCGAACTGCGTCCTCTATGGGTCGCTATGGGGAACGGTATACCCACACCGCCATGCTGAGGGGAATGCGGTCCAGAACCATGGCGAGCACTAAGTACCGACTTTACCATTTTCATGGTGAGTTGCCCCTGGGACGTCCGACGGCTGTCCGTGCCTTTATCCCCTACGGCCAAAGGCCTAGGCTACATACCCACACTTACCTGTTAGGGCCAGACTCCTGGGCCCAGGGTAGAGCTCAAGGCTTGGAATCATAATGGATTCCTTTAAGGGGATACGACCAAGAACCTAGTATCACACTAAGTCTTGGCCTGTCACACAGGGGCTACCGCTTGCTCTTGCATAAGCTCTGAAAGGA